GAACCATAATGAGGCTGCTTTTGCTGAGACAGGCATCATTTAAACTTGCATGGTGTTGCAAAGGTGAGAATAGTGATCAACACAAACATGACATTGTCTCTTTTGAAAGAGGAAATATTGCAACTGCAGAGCGCAGCAGTAAACAGGTATTTCTTGTGCTGTTTACATATAGATCTTTAATTGCCACAACATTATGAATCATTAGCCTTAGATTATGTTTGGATTGAGAGAATGTAGTGGAAAAGGAAGGAAAGCATGGAATGTTCATTATTTTTTTTGCTTATTTGGGTAATAAATTATAGAAAAAGGAAATTGTATGGGTTTACAATTTCTATTAATATAGGGTGTATAATTGATAGTATTTTTATAAATAATCATTATCTTCCTTTTACGCATGTAAATCAAGTGAAGTATTAAAAAATGTTTCTTTTATTTCATTTTTCGATTTTTAGTTGTCCAAATAAAGGGTCTTTCTATCCTTTAAAAATAAACGTTCTCTTTCTTCATTCATTTATTAATTTTTATCCAAACATGTGGTTAGACTTAATTGCAAAACTACTTTTTTTTTTTTAAGAAACAAAACCTCCTCCAGTTTTAGCAGAAGATACAGTTGTGTCCAATTTATGTGATGGAAATTGGCAGACTTTGGAAAACAAAATAGTATTATAAAACACAACCTAACAAAATGACACAAACAGGATATAACATATACTGATGTTGCAATTACAAGGTAATGAAGCTGGGCACAAGCTTTTGGAAATGCTTAAAATGATCATAATTGCACAAATTAACAAAAGTTTATCATCCCTTGGCCCTAGTTTTTAATCGGAATATAAGACCTTTTAAGATTGTAAATTTTATTATGTTTCAGGGTTACAAGTGTACGTTTCAAACTAGAAGAATGCAACCGTATTTTTCCCCAAAACTCCAAGAGATTTTTGTAATTTTTCTTTCTTTTAAAATAAACATGCACATAAAAGTGCAAAAGAATATTGCATTTGACAAATCTTTTACAATGGGATTTTATTTATAATAGAAAAAGAAGCATTATTAAGGAGAGAAAAATAGAGTACAGAAAGGGAGGATATGAATTCCTCTAGCAGCCACCAAATAATAAATAAAATGAAGGAAAAATACTCATAAAGGAAGATTTGATTCCAACCAGATATCTTATGTAGGTAAATAATCAAATTTCATTCTCAATTGAATCAACAAACGTACTTAATTAGTATAAGTGAATAATGATGAACCTTTATACCGAGGAGTTAGGAGTCGACTTAAATCTTTTTCTCTCGGTGACACATCTTCTTGCAGAGTAAATTATTTGATTATATATGTTGCACATCTTAAGCTGTACTATAAGAAAAAGTGGTAATTTATGTTATCCAGCATGGACGAACCATGGTAATCAGCATAGAGCACACAGATAATTTGCTTTATTATAATGCTTTATCTTTGAGGATATTGGGATATGCCAACTCTAATTATTTGATTGTTAAAAAGAGTTATTTTATCCTTTACTATGGTCTAACTGAAACTTCCTAATTTCAGATTGCTTTGAATGGGATCTGACCCGCAAACTGTGTTTATCTTAACAAGCCAAATTCAACTTCTGTTCGCATTCTCTGTGCTGAAATG